GAGATGTTCCTCGTGTCGCCCCCAGGAGGAACCGGCCGGGGACACGGCCAGAAGGTCGGGATGGACCTCCAGGACTTCTCCTTGCCCAGGTGGGAAGGGGTGGAGACAATCCCGCTCCTGGTGGAGATGACGGCGTGGAGAAGCTGGAGAAGCTCAGGGAGCTCCTGGGTCCTGGTGGAGATGGAGCCCACCATGAGGTGAGGAACCTCATGGACCTCCAGGCTCTTGGTGGACACGGATCTTCAGGTTCCTGGAGGACACGGATCTCCAGGTTCCTGGTGAAGAACCTCACAGATCTCCAGCTTCCTGGTGGACACGGATCTCCAGGTTCCTGGTGGAGAACCTCATGGACCTCCAGGTTCCTGGTGGAGAACCTCACGGATCTCCAAGTTCTTGTGAAGATGGATCCCACCAAGTGGTGAAGAACCTCATGAACCTCCAGGTTCCTGGTGGAGAACCCCATGGATCTCCAGCTTCCTGGTGGACACGGATCTCCATGTTCCTGGTGGAGAACCCCATGGACCTCCAGCTTCCTGGTGGACACGGATCTCCATCTTCCTGGTGGAGAACCCCACGGACCTCCAGGCTCCTGGAGGAGCTCTGTGTCCCCGCCCGGTGGCCGCTAGAGGACGCCCTCCATGAAGCTGGTGTCCAGGTGCTGGATGAGGACCCTGATGAAGGACATCTCCTTGCGCGTGTTCTCGAAGATGACGCGCGGCTCCTCGGAGCGGCACCGGAGGCAGTTGGGCGCCATCACCATGGCCAGGTTGTTGATGTCCATCTTGGTCACCGCCACGTTGGCCGGCTGCACGAAGACCTGGTGGGAGGAGAAACGAGGAGGTCAAGGCTGGTGGGACTCCGTGGTGACCTCGAGGAACATCTCAAGAGAAGGAACCAGGAGAAACCACGAAGCCATGGGGTGGGAAAAGGGAAAATGGAGGTTCTGGGGGTGGTGGGACTCCATAATGACCTCGAGGAACATCTCAAGAGAAGGACCAGGAGTCACCAGAAACACCAAGGAGGAAGATGGAGGTTCTGGGGTTGGTGGGATTCCATGGTGACCTTGAGGAACCCAAAGTCACGTCAGGAGAAGGACCAGGAGCACCAACCCATGGGGAGGGAAAGGGAAAATGGAGGTTCTGGGGGTGGTGGGACTCCATAA